TTTAATGTTCTATTAAAAAAAAGTAGAAAATAGAATGAAAAGATGTTCATTTTCATGCAAAACAGTTTTTGAAATCTATAGAAAGTTTCCTTTTTTTCTTAACTTTTATTTAATGAATATAAATTTCCAAAGTACAGCTTATAGATTACAATGGTTTCCCCCCATAACGTCCCTCCCACCCGCAACCCTCCCCTTTCCCACTCCCTCTCCCCTTCCATTCACATCAAGATTCATTTTCGATTCTCTTTATATACAGAAGATCGATTTAGCATACATTAAGTAAAGATTTCAACAGTTTGCTCCCACACAGAAACATAAAGTGAAAAATACTGTTTGAGTACTAGTTATAGCATTAAATCTCTATGTACAGCACACTAAGGCCAAAGATCCTACATGAGGAGTAAGTGCACAGTGACTCCTGTTGTTGACTTTACAAATTGACACTCTTGTTTATGGCATCAGTAATCACCCTAGGCTCTTGTCATGAGCTGCCAAGGCTATGGAAGCCCCCTGAGTTCACCGACTCTGATCATATTTAGACAAGGCCATGGTCAAAGTGGAAGTTCTCTCCTCCCTTCAGAGAAAGGTACCTCCTTTTTTGATGACCCATTCTTTCCACTGGGATCTCACTTGCGGAGATCTTTCATTTAGGTTGTTTTTTTTTTTTTTTCCCCCAGAGTGTCTTGGCTTTCCATGCCTGAAATACTCTCATGGGCTTTTCAGCCAGATTGGAATGCCTTTAGGGCTGATTCTGAGGCCAGAGTGCTGTTTAGGACATCTGCCATTCTATGGGTCTGCTGTGTATCTCACTTCCCATGTTGGATCGTTCTCTCCCTTTTTTATTCTATCAGCTAGTATTTGCAGACACTATTCTTGTTTATGTTTTCATAATACACATTTTCCATAAACTATTTGAAGACCCGGTTGTACCTGAAACAAGGGATATGTGTAGTCAGCATGATTAATAGGCATTCCCCCAATTCTTAATGCTATAAAAACACTGGTGGTCAACACACTGAAGCTTAAACAAAGTCGGATGCAAGGTAGGCAGCTCTGCTTCATCTTGTAGCTCTGCCATCTGGAACATGAGCCCCCAAAGGTCACCATGGATGTAAGAAAGAAACGGAGGCGGCACAACAGCTTTAAAAGCATTGGCCTAGATGTGACATTCTTTACTTCCCTTCACTTCTCCTCATAGTCCACCGACCCAAATGAGTTACCTGGCTCCAACTTCACTGCCAAGTGCACTGGGAATTCTCAGGGAGCCTATGGACTATCTGGTGACTATGGGCTATCTCTGCCACAGAATATAAAAGACAATCCAAATGTATCTCCTAGTATTAATCCAAACTGGCTATGTGAAAGTACTGTAAACCCTATAGATAGGTTCATTATAAGTCATATATTTAAATAATTTTTAGAACTTTTTTCAATTTTAATTTACCTCATCTATGTTAGTGCCTCATTCTAAAAATTTCATGTCACGAGCAAGATTCGTCTATACTCAGATACTTTATAAACTTTTGTCATTTTTAAAGAATCATAGGGTACATTTCTTTTTAAAACTGAAGGATGAGAATCCAAAAATTGACTAAAGGGAAATGATCTTTACAAGAAAATAATATTTGTAAGTTACCTTTGCCCTCCAAATTATTTATGACTATATAAGTTAATTACAAGTCATATATTCAATGAATATTTATTTCACTGTAGCTAGGGGCAAGGCATTGTCCTCAGTGTTGAGGTGAATAAGACAGTCAACATGCTATTTCTTTTACTGCTTATAGTCAAAAATGAATATTAAAATAATCCTTCATAATGATGAAAAGTTAGAATTCCTAATAAGAAAAATTTTAATGGTATTGATGTTCTGATTTCTGATTCCTTCTGTCATTTTTTTCCATGAAATTTTTGAGGATATACATATATATTAAATTCCATGCAGCGGGATATATGTGAAGTTGAAGTACGGGTATCTCAATAAGATATTTTCTTTTTAGTTGGCCTACCCTACTTGGGCCATTAGCAATCCTTGATTCATACTTATACAAATAAAAATATTTAGAGAGACAGTTATCAATTTTTAATCCTTATCTGTTCCATCAAAGAGAGTGGAAACCATATTCTAATTTGAAATTAGTTTCCTGAGGTTTATCCTCCTTATTTATGTAAAGCTTGCCTGAAAGTATTTCTCTGGTAAGAAGATTGGCTTTGCAAACCCAGATACACTTTCTGCGTTTACACAGAATGGCAGAAGCCTGAGGATTGAGAGAGGGATGGACTCCAATATGAGATCTTGGCCAAGTGGAAAATTTCCCTGGGGCAGAACTTCAGGAGGTACCTGGAACAGGGATACTGTGTACCCATGAGGATTTATCTCTGCTATGGAATGTAGAAATCTCCCCTCCTTGGTTGACCACAATGGGAAACTTCAAGAAATTGCTTCCTCTGTAAAAGTCAAAAATTATTTGAAAATAATCAGAATTTCCTATTCAGTAATGAGATATTACTTGAATAATCAAAGCAATCTCAAGTCCCAAAAATGGAAGGAGAAAGGGAGAAAATGTTACCTAAGATGCTATATAATATAGGAATATTTATGAGTCTTGTGCTCTCTCATTTGCATAAAGAGTATATAGATGTCAGGGAATGAATAGATCTGCCTCGCATGATCTTCCTGCTGTACTGTTATATACGTATGTATTCACTTGTATGTGCACTAAGTATGTCTTGAATTATAAATAAGTATTTTTGTCCCGTTAGAATTTATTTCTATACAAGAAGCAAAGAGAAGTGTCAGTTGAATTTAGGAGAGCTTATGTCAGGAATTTGAAGAGTAAAAAAGAAATGAAATTTAAAACCAGCAACAGCAGTACTCAACCTTTTAAATTCCATATCTATCATCTTTATTAAGCCAGTCACTGTAAGCCAGGCACTATGCTAAGTACTTTACATGTTTTATTGCATCTAATCTTCTTGACAACCCTCTGAGCTGTTATTATCCCCATTTTATACATGAGGAAACTAAGAGAAATTAAGTAAAACCGTGACTTGAGCCTGAGCTGTGTTTGTCTATAAATCATGCTTTTTGATAAAAGTAAAAGTCTCTACTCTGGAGACCCTAATTTAAAAATTCCCCAGGTAAACATTTCTTGCCCCACCACCTACCTTGCAACACATTGAGACTGGAAACTACACTCTTTTCTTTCATATTTCTCCCCAACCTATACTGTCATTCGTATAATGAAAACAACAGTGACTTTTGAAATGCATTCGCTCGTGATGATTTTAACAGCAAACGTGTTACTTTAAATTCCACTTGCTCCCCTTACTCCTTTCGCAGATTTGTGTTAGTCAGATACTCAGTGCATGCCTCTACCACAAACTCCATTCCATAACCAGCTCAACTGTTGAGAATTCTGGAAATAGAAGGAACTTTGAAATCTAGTCTTCCTAATGTCCCTCTGATGACTGGTGATACTCATACCAACAGCATAATTCAGGGGAATAACTCAAGCCATTATGGATCTCAAACCTAGCATTTTCTCAGGACCATATACATGAAAGTACATATAAGAGAGAATAATATTGCATTAGGGATAAACTTGAATCCAACTTAATATATCTTTTAAAAATAAGTGTCTACAATCCTTGGTATACTAATTTAAATATTGATTGATGTGACTTTCCACAGAGTTGTGACATTTATGAATCATTTATCCATTTCAGTCCATGGAGAGAGTATCTATGGCATGTCAAGGACTATTCTAGGGAGACTAGTGTTGTGTAGCAGGTAAAGCCACTGCCAGCAACACTGGAACCCCATGTGAGTGCCAGTTTGTGTCCCAGATTTTCCACTTTGGAACAGCTCCCTGTTAATGGCTTGCAAAAAGCAGCAGAAAATGACCCAAGTGTTTGGGCCCCTGACATCCTCATGGGAGACCTGGAAGAAGCTCCTGACTTTGGTCTCACTCTTTATGACTCTCCCTCTCTTTCTCTGTAACAATTTCAAATAAATAAATCTTAAAAAAAATATTCTAGGTTGTAGCAGAGCTAAAACCAGGCCAAGTCTTTCTTAAATAATATAGTTTTTTTTTCTCACTGTCTTACAAAACAGCTTATTGTATTTAACTTCAAAAGTGTGATAGAGGTTAAGATCAAAAATCTAGGGCAAGCTCAAGGGTTGAGAAAGTTCAAACGAAAAGAAATGTTTCCATTATATCAGTTCTGTATATCCTTAGTTTTGTCTCCTTTCTGGGGAGCAAGAATATCTACCAAGAATGTATAGAGTCATTAAAGAAATGATGAACTTTCCTTCTGAAATCATTGCTGCCAAGTGGACCTCCATTTTATAGATTCATAAAAAATTAAATAGATCTTAAGAGAATAACCCATTTACTTCAGAATGAAGAAAACTGAGATCCAGAAGAAGAGTTTTTCCTCATAGTTATTTGGTCATGCTTCCTAAATAATATCTAATCTTTTATTATAAATATATTAGATATGTAAAATAAGACTTAGGGCAAATAAAAAGAGGAAGAGGAAAAGGAGAAAAAAGAAAAGAAAATGGATTATTTTAAGGGAAGCTTACATAAGTCAGACACAGTACTAGAGGTTTCATACATTTAGGATACTTTAGATTGTTAAGTGACATAAAACTCAATTCAGGTAGCTTCTGCATAAAAGCAAGGGGAGTTGGATTTACTGGTATTGTTTTTGACAAATCAGCAGTAGGAGCCGGCATTGTGGTGCAGTGGGTTAAACCATTGCCCGTGACGCCAGCATCCCGGATGGGTGCTAGTTTGAGTCCCGGCTGCTCCACTTCAGATCCAGCTCTCTGCTTATGTGCCTGGAAAAGCAGCTGAAGATGGTCCAAGTCCATGGGCCCCACGTAGGAGACCCAGATGGCTCCTGGCTTGTGCCTGGCCTAGATCTATTGTGGCTGATGGGGCCATTTGAAGAGTAAACCAGCAAATGGAAGAGATTCATTCTCTCTCTCTCTCATTCTCTCTCTCATTCTCTCCCCCCCGTGTGTGTGTCCCCAGGAGTAAGCTATGTGCAATTCTGCATATACTTTGTCAACATCACAAACACTTACCTTCTGTCCATGTGTTGACTTTATATTCTGTTGGGTTGGATTTATTCTTGATGACATCAAGTTCTCCCAAGTGTTTCTGTGTCAAACCTAAACAAAAGAAAACAGCCCATTTCCTTAGAGGTTTGACACTAATCCTGGAATTAGATCCTATTGACCTGATTGCCACAGCTTCAATTAAGTTCCCATGGACGAACCAATCACAGGTGCCAGGAGGGATTAATTAACTAGTACCTAAGTCACTCTCACCCAGGCTGAAAGTTGAGGTGAAGTGATTTCTCAAACAAAATTTGGATACTGACAGTAGAATCAGTGGGTGCTAAGAAGGCAATATCCATCATATAAACATTTTCTCATTTGATTCTTCTAACTAGCCTTGAGGTAAATATTTAAATACAGGACACTGTGCCCTCTCTCTAAAGGGTAATAGGTTTCTTGCATTTCTTCAGTAAATTATCAGACAGACGACCATCACTTGGGAACTGTCTTAAGCCCCTTCATGAGGCTCAAAGCCAATCTAGTGGAAAGGAAATATTACAATGAGTTTTGGGGGTAATATGCATTTTTCTCCCTAAAACTAATAATCATCCCCCTGTATTCCCAGGCCCAGCCCTGCCTGTCATCCCTCATCCCTATGTAATTTTTTTAATGATTTATTTATTTGAAAGAGTTACACAGAGAAGGAGAGGTAGAGAGAGAGAGAGGCCCTTTATCACTGGTTCACTCCCCAGCTGGCTGCAATGGCCAGAGCTGTGCAGATCTGAAGCCAGGAGCTTCTTCTGGGTCTCCCACGTGGGTGCAGAGGCCCAAGGACTTAGGCCATCCTCTACTGCTTTCCCAGGCCATAGTAGAGAGCTGATTGGAAGTGGAGCAGCAGGGACTCAAACCGGCACCCACATGGGATGCTGGCACTGCAGGTGGTGGCTTTACCCCCTGTGCCTCAGTGCCAGTCCCCATCCCTATGTAATTTTATCACCTCCATTGATCACCCCATCTACTATGAAGTCTTAACTATTTTGAATATTTGGCTCAATACCTTGCTCATATATCTACTTTATTCTTGGAGCTTGGGGATTCTCTTGTCATAGATAGGAAATTATCCCCAGGATCCCAGTGCAGCCCCTGTTACCACCTTCCTGACCCCTTTCCACAGCCTCAGTTTGTTTGGTACTCTCAAGTACCGTGGAAATTGACAACATCTTGTTTATTATTCAGGTAGTCAAGATTACCAGTGAATGTTATCATTTACTTTCTCAGCTGGCTGGAGACAGCAAAACATGCTCTTCTGTGAACAATTTTCCATTGTTTACTGGAAGATTATTTCCTAAATTTGTATACATTTACTTATGCTGAAGCTATGGGAAAACATTTTCTGAAATTGCAAGTATGAACTTTCGGGGAATTCTCATTTTCAATTCATCGTGTGGGGTTTTACACACTTGTTTATATTTAACTAAATGACTATTAAAATGGTTATCTTATATGCAGTTGTTTAGAGGATATCTGTGTGTCTTGTTAAACATAAGAAATCCAAACATATGTAGCCTGGGATAACAAGGATTACAGATACACATGTGTATTCATTTTAAAACTTCCCTTCCTAGTCTTTATTTAAAATAGCAAATGCATACATCCACAGATCAATTAGTAAACAAGTCAAAAAAGACCACAAGAAGTAAAGAAACTAATAGGTATGTTGGTTTTTAAAATGCTAGTATTTCTAACCCAATGATGGAGAAGTTTCTTATGGTGACATATGGAACCAGAGCTTTAACTGTTCAGCTGTGAGCATTCACTGCTGTCATATTCTCAACGGGCCATTGCTTTGCCCAGTGCTTTTGGTCCCATCCTGTGTATTCAACAGATAGGAGAAAGCTTTATCTACTCGTGCCCCTTAGGTGCTGAGAACAGAACTGTCCCTTCATTCGTCTATTCATCTATTCCACGAACATCAATTGCTTTCCATTTGCTAGACCCTGGGTAAGCATTACAAATGTAAAATAGCATTTCTGAAACTTAGAGAAAAAAACACTAACAATCATCCTAACTATGTCAAGAACTGACATTTTCAAGATACTTTGTATTTATTGTTAAAAATCAACCCACAGTGAAGTTTGGTTCACAGGAACAGATCACTGAGCAACCTCTCTTACAACTCCAAGCCCAGGATGAAACTATTTTGAATAAATTCAATCTGCATTACCGCTATGATCCATTTGCTTGCTAGTTTTAGTAAGTATGTTTTTGCCTGATGAATTATTATATCCAATGGGGTAGGTCTTAACTCCCTATTAGTGAGGAATATAAAACAAGTGGTATGGCTGGCACTGTAGTGCAACAGGTTAAGCTGAAGCTCCCAAGCCAACATCCCATATTGGAGTGCTGGTTCAAGTGCCAGCTGCTCCACTTGTGATCTATGTTCTTGCTGGTGTGCCTGGGAAGGCAGCAGATGATGGCCTAGCTACCCATGGTGGTCCACTCCTGCTACCTATATGGGGGCAGAACTGAGTTCCAGGCTCCTGGATTTGGCCTGGCACAGTCCTGACTACTGTGGCAATTTAGGGAATTAGCCACCAGATGGAAGATCTCTCTTTCTCTTTCTCTCTCTGCTTCCCTCCCTCTCTCTCCCCCTCTCCTCTTTCTGTCTTTCAAATACATAAATAAATCAATCTTTAAAAAAAAAAAAAAAACTTTGGGCCCACATCTATAAACAGCTCAGCTAGAGCATCTGAAATGCACAAAAGAACGATTCAGTCAAAGCATGTGTAGAACATTTCTGGGAAGATAGCTAGAAAACTACTGAAAATCATTACCCCAGGAGAGTAGAAGATCTAGGGCCAAGAAAATGGTTTTTCAGTTTATCCCCTTTAATGGTGCTTCCCTAACTTTCTTATAGTTTGATAATTAAAAGTAGTTTAAAAGCACTAAAAATTTCATAGTATTTTCCCTTTATAAAGAGATACACAGTACATAATCACATTAAAGTCTATAAGAATTTAATGTGTTTAAAACATGCATGTCAGAAATATATTTATCCAAAGAATTTTGTTGTTTTATGTAGTTTTAACTAGTAATGCCATGCACATCCTGTAAGAAACACTGATTTAGGGAATAACAAGCATGGTAACCAGCCTAAAGCCATACAGACAGGGAGTAGGGAGATAGAATCTGACTCAACACCTGACGCTCAACTGAGGTCCCTTGGAAACTGCAATCAGGGTAGAGAAAAGGACCTGAATTGTTCATGGTACATGAAACATGTCTTGTTTCTGGCAGAGAGAGAGAGAGTGAGTGAGTTGGAGGGGGATAATCTGCCAGAACTTTCTGTAACCCTCACATGGCACATCAGTTTTCTAGGAAAAGTTTTCAGATACAACCTTCACCAAAAAGGGGAAATAACACTGTTAAATTGACTTATACTTCTTATTATTTAAAAGAGTACCAGAGTATGCATTGAGTGTAGCAGTTTTAAGATGCTGCATGCCATACTGGAGTGCCTAGGTTCAAGTCTGGGTCTGCTCCCAGTTCCAGCTTCCTGCTAATGCACATCCTGCAGGTAACAGATGACAGTTCAAGTAATCGGGTCCCTGTAATACGGCAGACCCAGATTTCATTCCTGGCTCCTGGCTTCAGCTTGGCCCAGCCCTGGCTGTTTCAGGGCTGTGAGCAGTCAATCAGTGGAAGGGCTGTTTCTGGCTCTCTGCCTTTAAATAAACAAATAGTCATTTTACCTCATCATATCCTCCTTTGTAGTAAGATGTTTTACCCTTAAATAGGAAAATAAAGGCTATCTGGTAATTTTGGTGCCCAAATGGCTGACAGAAATACAATTAAGCCATTCATTTATCTTTCTGAATCTTTTCCAGACCAACTGTTTTCTCCTATCACTTTTTTTAGTTTTATTTTTAATTAACATACAATAATACTATCACTTCGTTAGATACTGCCATCTTTAAGTCTCTCAGATGAGGCTTTTCATTTAAACATCTTCAAGATTTTAAATGGATATTTAAAGCAACTTCTTTTATCAATTAAGATAGCTCCCTACCTGCAGGGAAGTAATATGGGGGGAAATAAAGCAGAACTTTCTCATCAATGATACTAGGATAAAAATGAAGCAAGTAAAGGGTAAGAGTGTAAAACCATAATTTTTCTGTGCCTGACCTGTGCCATCATTTCAGAACTACACACTGGCAGAACTTTACTCTTCAGTAAAGACCATAAAACTGTGTTGAATGAATATAAATACTTCCTAGAAAAGTCCTTGCAGTAGATAAAGTTGTGCAGTTACCTGAAACATGCAGTAAGTAGGGCTATCATGATTTAATTCTGGCTTTGTAACTTTTATTCTTGAACTAGGTTTGTGATCTTTTTAAAAGCAAATAAAACCTGCAGGTGTTCCTAGGTCTTGATTCTAAATAGTGAGGCGCAGTTCCTCATTCTGGGTGGGTGGTAGACAACCAGCACAGCAGACATGCTGCCAAGGAGGTGGATTGCCAAATGGCACAGTGCTCTGTGTTTGTTTGGCTTGGCATTGCTAGAAAGGAGAGAGAGAGAGAGAGACAGAGACAGAGAACAGACACACACAGAGACACACAGAGAGACAGAGAATGTTATATTTCTGCCTTAGAATCCCTTCCCTTTCCCACTCTCATCATCACGGGAGAGTTAAATTTGTTACTCAGTTTACTAGTTGGTTGGCTTGCCCTCCAACACATTTGCTACTTAGTCCCAGAGCCATTTAAAAGTGCTAAATTACAACAAGTTCTTTCATGACTGGTGGGCAAGGCTAGTTGTGCCAGTTCCATATGAATGAAGAGAGGGAAACTTACCACTGCCAGGAGGAAGCAGAACTATCACGTCCCCCCACCCCCACCCCCACCCCCACCCCCCGCAAACTGTGAGGTCCTTAGCTTCTCATCCAGTTTTACTCACATGCATCTGTTTTCTAAACTTCATTGTGCATACCACACCACTATACCATTTAGTGGATAATTGCTGTCTAACTTTGCATGTTTCATCTCCCCCACTAAAATATAAAATCAAAGGCCCCAATTGGGTTTCATGGCAACAAACACTTCTCTAGACAC